CCCTAACAGATCGGTGTTTTCTGCTCTCCTAACCTTCCAATATTGAGACTATGTAGTCCAGAAAAATTACCCATAATTAGGGAAGGCTGTGCTAGTTGTTTCTCTTCAAGAGATCTCATTTGTATTCATGTATGAGTGTGCATGCGTGTATGGAGAGACAGAGAGACAGTGGGGGTGAGAGGGAGGAGGTGAAACATGTGTTGGACCTCTGTAATTAATGCGAGTAACTTTCGTGCAAAATGTATAAAATGCACACCAGGCAGTTAGTAGTTACTAATAAGCAGTACATGTAACTGCACATTTCATACGATTGTTGTTAACATTTCTCCTCCCAAAAGACTTAAGTCATGGGTAGCTTATTTTTCAATGACTAGAGGCATTTACTTCTCTCTCCAGACCATGTTCTGGAGCAGCTACAACAAGATGATTGAAGCCATGTGGATTTTCTGCTTTTCTGGGCTGTTCTTTTTATCATATTTTATAAAGCCATCTCAATATTAGTTTTTTTAACTTGGAAAGTCAATGACATAATAGAGTATTAATTTTCATAAAAATAAACTATTTTAATAGACATATACAATATATTCACATAGCTTTTTCTACTCCCCCCCCCCCAAGAAAATAAAGTAATTGGTTACAGTTACAGAGTCAAATCATTACCTTGAAAACAAGTGAGACAAGCACATAATGAAGAGATGCACTTGAGCAAGGTTTTTCACAGGTCTTTCTGATTTACAGCTACGTGAAGCAGCAATCTCTTAGGAATAGCAACGGAGCAACAAACTAACCACCCGTAAAGTACAAGCCAAAATATTTGGACTTGTGACACAATTAATTATGTCATGCTTGTACTGCAAGGGGCAGTCTGCTTCTTCTTCCCCCCTCCCTTGTCTTATTTTTTACAAAGTATACAACTCTTCATTCAGGCTTCTTATCTTGGCAAGCTACTTTCATATCAGAAAATACCCAAGAATGAGCTCCATAGGGATTTTAGAGACTGATGGGATGCAGCTTAGCACTGAAGAGACATTCTGATTCTGCAATAGGTTGGTAGCAACAATTAGAAAAACAAGACTACCTTCATTATTTGGGTGTCTTGTTTATTTCTTTCCTTTTGTTTGTTTGGCAGAATTATTGCAAATCCTTTAAGATAGTATACAAAGATCAAAAACATGTTACAGGTTTTTTTTTTTTAAAAAAAAACTTTCTTACAGGATCAGGACTGTAGGGATAGTGGGATAATGCCGATCCAGGGATAGAAGTGATAGAGAAGGTACATATCCAAGGTTCATTAGGATGATGTTGTCTTGATGGGAGATGCTGACCCTGCCAATTCTTGTAGGACAGGTAGAAACAATTGGAGAAAGGCTATCCTGTAATGTACAGCCCCTTTAGACATGAAGAGCTTTATAGATAACTATAGGCACTTTGAATGGCAAGGGAAATCTAAATGGCAAGGCAAGTAAAGATAAACTGAAATTTACTCATAATTGCTCTTAATGTGGTATCCTGAAGCAGGAAGGGCAGCCTCATGTACACTGTGTTGAAATAGGCTCTTCCAATACAGGAAAAGAATGCTATTAGTACATAAGATAAATCTGTGGAAGAGTTTTCTCAGCTGCAGCTGCCATTTGCTTACAATAGGAGTCTAGAACAGGGGTGTCAAACTGGCAAGGCAGTTTGCATCATGTGTAGCCCACGCCCACCCCAGCTCCGCAAAGGGGGAAAGCGTCACAAATGTCACATGACAGCAAAGTGATGCTGCAAGTTTGACACTCATGGTCTAGGAGATCAAAATTGTGTGCCAGTAAGCAGGATGGACCCTAAAAATGAAGAATCATTAAATCCAGAGTCATCTAGTTTTGTTAGAGTTAGATCTAAATAATTTCCTCCAATTCTAGACCCCAACCGCATCTGGTCATGGATCCAGAATAGGATTTGCAGAATTAGACATACACAGGTTTGCATCACTAGTATACAGTATTGTTACCTGATCTCATGCTGTCAACGATCATGTACAGCAGCTATTTGTAGATGTTAACAAAGATCAGGGTAAGTGACAAGTGAAATATCCCACAAAGTGAAGATTTCAGGTTTACTATTTCCTTCCCAGCACCAAACAGAATTGAACCTGAAAAAGGAGAACCACTGAAGCATAGTCTCTCATTCCCAACTTTCTAAATCAATCCCAAGGTACTGAAAACCAGTAAGACATTAAGAAGAACCAAGAAAGTTTGCCCCCTCTCCCAGGCAAAATCAGTACTGTATCAAATAGTGAAATCTGTCTGAAAAGAATCCAAATTAAATTTCAGTTTACAGAAGAAATGCCCCTCCATTAAATAGTTACGACTGTAACTGCTATTTGATTATTGTCAGTTGCTTAGTTTGTGTTCATGGAATGCCACCTATTCTAAGGAAGATTGGATCTGGATGGCCTATTGTTTCACGGGAGTGCAGCTTTTAGCCACTGCCCTTACTTACAAGCAATTCCCTTATATGTTAGTAAGATATATTTGTGGCTAAATTCTGCCGAATGAATTCACATGGTGACTATAAAACTAGTATAAAACTCTCTTAGCTGGAGGCTTTCTTTGCCTATGCTGACTCTATTGAGATTTATTGAAACTGCTGGGAAACAGTAAATTAGGAATGTCGGGTTCTGCCACGCTCTGTTTTTGGGTTTGGACAATGGTAGAAAGCTACCTATTTTATAAATGTAGTTAGGAAATCTGATGACACCTTTAAATGGAGTATGCTGTTTAAATCTTCAGAATGATTGGAGTAAAAATGGAACCTGGTCTCTTCAAATCAGCCAAGAGTGATTTTAAAGGGTGTAGGAGAGTTACTGAAAATTTTGGCTTTGCAAGATCTTCAAACACCCTTGCAGTTTTTCAGAGTTGAAAAGAGAAGCTGAATGGTGTGATGAACTGATAGTGACATGAGTAGCAAGCCAATTACTTCAATCGCCTTCCTGCCCTTGTCTGTTTCCCTTTTCTGATAGAATTCAATTAGGACAGTTTGTTTAAAGGGAGACAGATTTATTCTACTCTCTTTTATCTGTTTTGCTAGGGCCTTTGTGATCCTACACATTTCCCTCAATTCACAATCATTATATTCCTTTTATTAGATCATACCATTTATCAGACCAATCTATTTTGTAGCATAATCCAATCCAACTTTGTATTCAGTTTGTATGCTCTTACTTTTCTCCTTTTAAAATGTTTATTGGTTTATAATCAGAAGTCAATATAAAATATTTACTCTGCTATTGCCTGTATTTCCTACATCTTGTCCTAACTCAGTCTAAAATGATCGAGTTCACTGCTTGAACTCTAGGATGCATATATCTAAATTATTTTATGTCATTGTAAATGTTACATTGTAGTGCATTCTAAATGCAATTATGATATATTTCTATTTTTAAAACATTGTTGGACTAGCAATGTTGCCTTAAATATTTATGTTTTTATTAAATCTAGGGCAGTTTGATCTAATAGTTAAGGCACCAGGAAAATGTGAATTCCAGTTTTGCCTTAGGCATGAAAGCCAGCTGGGTGACTTTCTCCCAGCCCAATTCAACAATGGAGTTATTGTCGATTGGAAAATGGGAGGAGGAAGGGCTATTAGCTATGTTTGCCACCTTGAGTATTTTATAAAAATAATAAAAGTAGGATTTTTTTAAAAAAAAATTAAAAATAAATACAGTGAATATTCACAACTATAGAAAGAAAAATTATCAACCAATAAATCAATAATAAATATATAAATAGTTATCTATATGTCCTTTGTTAGACAATGGAGAGAGTATCGTGCTATCATTTTACTTTTGGACTTAAAGAGGTATATCAAGAATTTATTTGGGTAAAACCTTGAATCCACAGATTTTCATCTGATTTTATAGATGAACAAAATGCTGGCATTTTGATGCTTGCCCGTTAGAGTTAATGACTGAATAGAGACATGGATTAATGGACTATGTCTATCAAATCAGTGTTGACTCTTAGCAACCACTTAGATTTTCTCCATGACTATAGACACATCTGCATGAAGGTAAAATGTTGTGATGATGCAGAGCAAACCACATGACTTACATGTTGGGATACCAAGCGTGAAAGGCTGGAGTTACATTGTAAAATAACAACGTACATTTTTTGTTCTTTATGTTGTGGTTACTATTAGATGCCTTTGTGGTTATTAAATGTCTAATAGGTTCAAGTAAAATCTTATATTTAAATCTTGAATTATACATTTCAATGAAAACATAACATGTTCATATTTCTCTAATAATCTCAGTGCATATTCAGTTTCCATAGAGGATATTCCTTAGCAGTACTTGGTGTATTACCTGACTGCCATTCTTTGCAAAGTTATTTGTGGATACTGTAGTAATTTGAGTGTATTAACGCACACATCATCTAATCCAGGATTTCAATTTAATCTTTTTGTAATTATAACCATTTATAAGGCATTTTATTTATATTTTATTTTTATTGGAAGGAATTATAGCCTGGCACATTCTAGAAGGGGGAAAAGTCATTTCCAATTGAAAGCCAGGCAAAATCTATAGCAGCCTTTTCACCACCACTTATTTAAGTTACTTTGGTAGCAATATCTGAATCTGCTTCATCCAATCAAAATTAGGAGATAAACCCAAACTCTTTTAACAATTTGTCTTTTTTGTTTTGGTCTATTTTCTTTAATCCAGTGGAGATTTTATGTCTAATTAAAATGTGCAGATGGGTCCGAGTTCAAAACCATATAGGCAAGTGTCCTAGAAATTAGGCTCGATTTAGTTATGAGTGCAAAACATATCCGTAAGACTTTATAATTCTCTGTATAGGCATTGACGTTAACCACATCTTACATATGAATTCTTCTGTTCTAATTCAAGCCCAAATAAAAACCTCAAGAGTGCAGAAATGACACTTTGGTGTTGATATTTCAAGTACAAATGTTGGAGAACATTTCACTTTCACTTCAAACAATGACATTCTGAGGCCACGCACCTTTATTTGGAAGTCAGCCTATAATGCTTTTGACGAAGATAAGCATGGTTAGAATTGCAGCATAAAATTCCAGCTGAAATCATTGATTTAAAAGGCAATTCAAGGAGTGTCCTTTCTGCCTATTAGATTTCTTCTTGGTTTGCTTTTGCTTTTTACCCAGCTTGTTTTTATTCAACATCTTATTGTTTTTATTCTCCTTAAACCATGGGCCCCACACTCCCCCATTAAAATTTGGGTTGCTCCTGGGGTCTTTGGGTGGGTAGCGGACAGGCACGGCTGTCTTATTGAACTGGGAGAGCCTTCGCAACAGCTGCTTGACTATACTTGGATACTTATTGGAGAGGTCCTCTCGTTCATAAGGATCGGCCGTGATATTGAACAACCACACCGTTTTACCTGCTGTCCATGAAACCCGTTCATTGTGCCAGCGATTGGGACCAACATTACTAAAAGACTGAGGAGGGACCCAGTCGCCATATCCTGGATTTCCTGTTAGTAGTTTCCAGTGGCTTACCCGGATGGCTGACTGAATGGCAGTGTTCCATATTCCAAAGCCAGCTGCCCAAGAACCATTTCTGGCTTTTGTGTATATGGGATCAATATTATGTAAAATATCTATTCTTGGAGACCTCCTGCCTTCACTGATGGTCTCCCAAACATCATAGCCATCCAATTGTATATCTTCATCAATCTGTCCTTCCGCTAAGGTAATAAGTGTTGGAAACCAGTCGGTTATATGTATAAGCTCCTTGCATATACTTCCCTTGGTTTTAAGTAAAGGGCTGTGAACAAAGCCAACTGCTCGAATCCCTCCCTCCCAATAAGTACCTTTGCTTCCTCTGAGAGGCCAGTTATTTCCACCAGCTGTTGGCTGGCCTCCATTGTCCGAAGAGTAAATTATAACACTGTTGCTATAATAACCATATCGCTTTAATGCACGGGTCACATTGTTGATAGCTTCATCCAAGCATGCCAGCATGGCAGCGTATCTGCGCCGATTGATATTATTAATTGACCTATAATGTTCATAATACTTGCCCGGGGCCTGAAGTGGTGAGTGAACAGCTTGGTATGCAAGGTATAAGAATATGGGTTCCCTGGGATTATGGGAGGCTAAGATTTGTTCCACTCTTTGAGTGTACATCTGTGTGGAATACATTCCATTGTCATGATCCCAAGCAGCGTTGTCATTTTCATATAAGTCATAGCCACACATTCGAGGACTGTCACACTTGTAATGGGTGTAATAATCACCACTGCCCAAAAGAGAGCCAAAAAAGGTATCAAAGCCCCGTTGAGTTGGCATACATTCTTTGCGATAAAAGCCCAAGTGCCATTTGCCAATCATGTGGGTTGAATAACCTGCTTCTTTCAGTTTCTGAGGTAGTGTCACATTGTCCAGAGGCAGGCAGTTCGGCTGGGTGGGCCGTATGACAGAATGCTGAAGACCTGTGTGGATTTGATACCTGAAAGAAAGAAAGCACACTTTAGATGAAGGAGGAAAAAAATAAACTGTAAACTGGTATCACAAACAGGATGGAATGCACAATGGAGCTTGGAGCACAGCTCTATCCATCTTTATCTGGAAGCAAGCCCAGAAACATTCTTTATGGTTCTCAAGCTAACTACTGGGTTCCAGATCTGAAATTTGTGATACACTGTATGAAAATGCATTCTTGCTAAGAAAGAAAGATATTCCTTTTTTATCTTCTCAGGGCTCTTTGCCAAATGACATGTGGAGGGTGGATTCAAGTTATGGAACCTCACCAATAAAGTGCCTTCTCCAAGGTGGTATGCTTGGCATAATGTCTTTTAGGCACCAGGCAAAACCGCTTCTCTTTTCTCAGGCGTTCATACAATTTTATAATCAATATGATTTTAAGATTTTAAGATCTAACTTGAATAGTGGCCATTATGTTCCCTATGCTAAAAATTGTACCTTATTGTAAAATTGCATTTTATTATTTTTATTAATTAATTACTTTTTTTTGTTTTTGTAATCTTTTAAATAATAGTAAATCATGAAGACTATTTTGTTCACTGGGTGGATTACAAGAAATAAAGCCTGTGACTTCCATAAAACCCTCAAGTTGATTTATTAGTCTAAGTAATTACTGGCTCTTCAAATACAAAAAAATATTAGTTCTGAGGCTCCTTCCTTCCTTCCTTCCTTCCTTCCTTCCTTCCTTCCTTCCTTCCTTCCTTCCTTCCTTCCTTCCTTCCTTCCTTCCTTCCTTTTATTTTATGCTAATCATTTAAATGCATCCTAATTATTTTTCAGATGTGACTTTAAAAGAGTTGTTTGTACCCCAGTATCAAAATGATACTGTCAAAAAATGACACTGTATGCATGATTTGAAATCAACCATCGACAATTTCTAGAACAACTTCAGATTTTCAAGCAGAAAGACACATTCAAGTGCACTATAATACTCATAAATTTTCAGTATATTGTTAAAGCAGCAGCTCTAGTAACTGACTGATTGTAAAAAGTAAAATTGAAGCTTTGATCAAAGCATTCACTTCAAAGCTTTGTATCATTTATTAAATAGGTATTATCTTAACCCATGAAGCCCAACTTTGATAGGGTTGCGATCTGGATATACTAGAGTCCCATGAAACTCTGAATAACAGCTTGTCCTTTCTCCTATAATTGTGAAGATGTGAATGGTAACACCAGTTCAACAAATAGACAATGGATTTGTATAGGTTTATTTTATTCTATTTCATTTGCTATATGTTTGGCAATATAGTGGAGCAGGATCTAGTGCTCTTAATCTTAGTCATTTCATTTACTTGCTGAAAAGGGATAGTGATTGCATAATCAAATTTCTCTTAATTCTGTTTAAATCTATATTACAGAAGACAGGCATCTATATGTACACTAGGAAAAAAAAGCTGGATGGAATTTGATGCTGAGATGTCATGCTAAGACTCATTTCCTATAGAACAAGAACTTTAAATAAAAGCAGATCTTCCTGTCCATCCAACCCCAGCAATGCAATCTGAGAAAGAATATGCTTACTTATGACCAACTTGTATAAATACTACAGCCAAAAAAACCCTATAAAAAAAGAACCCTGGAATGCTTAGATTTTTTTTAAAATTTCCATGGTTTTTAATTATTCACATGCATAAATATTCATTATATCTTTAATCAAAAACAGCCCAGTTATCATTCCAACTAATACATGGAACATATGTGAGGAATCCTCATGTTTACTGAGAAGGGAATAAACACTATATTACACAAATGATGCTGTAGCAATTACATTTTTGGTTACAAGTTAAACAAAATGTAAAAACTATGCTTTTGAATTGTGATGTTGAAGAAAACGTCTGAGAACAGCCTGGACTGCTAAAAAGACCAATTATTCAATACTAGACGATATAAAACCAGACTGCTCACTAAAAGCATTAATAATGAAGCCAAAGGTTAAATATTTTGAATGCACAATGTAAAGGAAAAAGTCAAGGGAGAAGGCATAGAAAAATGAAAGGCTTTCTAAAAAGAGGTGACAAGGTGGCCAGGTACTATTATTGATGGCACAAGGATGAACTTAAAAGAACAAGTGAAATTATGTAGATGAAGTCACAGACACAACTGAATGCCTGAATAACATTTTGAAAATGGAAGGAATGGGAAGGGGTACACAAACATAATTATCTCATTCACTGAAAAAACATGAAGTCCATTCTCTTGAAGATAAAAGCAGGGGGAAAGGTGCCTACATTTTCTGAATGCATTTAATACATTCCCCACATTTTTTTTCAAAAAGTTGCAGAAGCAGTGGGTTAAATCTACTGTCCTGCTTTGAAAAGTCATTTACATTATTGTTATTTCTTTCTTCTCAGGCTGTCCTGCAGCCCATACATGTAATCTTGTGGGTTTTTTTAACTGATACCATTTACATAAGAGGACATATTTGTCAAAATTAAATATTTGAAAAAGTTAAAGGAATTCTAGAAACAATCTTAAGAGGACTTTTGTAATATATTCTTGACCCTTCCTGAAATTTCAGAGCTGTATTTTATTGAATCTCTGTATGGGAAAAAAAATTCAGTGTCCCTGCCTATAAACCCCATTCTTTTATAAATCTAGCTAGTCTATTCTGATGCATTCATATGCAATGGCTTGAGTTCTTGGAGCATACAAATATTTTAAAGAGTAATGCTTCATTTGATACAGCGAGCTAATAGAAGCAACAGTAAATGAAGGACTGTACTGAGTTTATTTGCCTTCCAGGCATAAACAAAACTTTAAAGGATTTGTAGAATTTAGGACTATTATTGTTACAATTGAATAGAAGAATTAGATGAATTCAGGAACTCCACAAATATGGACTGCCCTGGATTTCACCCTTCGATTGATGATTTCCAGTTCCGACACTACTTCTCTCCAGTGGCTGCTTAAGGACAAACAGTCCATAACTACAGCACAGGTGGCTAGATTCTGCACAGCAGCACTGAGGATTCATTAGAAAAATGTGTCTATTCCACTGTAGCTATTTTATTCAACAAACGTGGCAAAGCTGTTGCACTGTTTATTTATTCCTTTCCCTTTTTGTATTAAACTGACTATGGGCCACACAGTTTATGGATTGTAATTCTAGCATAGTTAGACCGTGTATAATTGACAGACTGGATTTTATCATAGTTTTTAGTTATTTGTTATTTTCTACTAGAATTTTTTAATTGTATATTTATTGAGTGTTTTTATTTGTTCTGGTCTCTGGTCTATGACTGTAATAAACTGAAATGGGTTAAACTGAGATCAGCATACAGAACCTTTGGTCACGAATGCTTCTGACCATGACCAAATCGGGTTCCAACCAAAAAAATCACATTTTTTTTTCGTGGCCAATTTCCCCTTCTATGCCATTTTTTTTGTAAGTGCCAAATTTCAAAAATTTGGTTCAGGACCGAATCGGGTTACGACCAAAGTTATGGAATGAATTATGGTCGTGACCAGAGGTTCTACTGTATATGGGACTGATTGGGGTAGATTGTAGGGGTGATACCAAAATATAATTTTATCATATTTATCTATATATTAAATTATTGTATTTTATTTTATTCCAATTTCATTTCAAATTGTGTTTTATCCAATTCCATTTTAAATTGTTTTTATCAGATTTTAGAAATAATTTGTGCCTGGAACTCTGCACTTTGATATGGCCCAAGGGCTAATCAATAAAGTGAAGTAAGTAACCTTTGCCTGTTCACTTTTACTGTGTCACTTTAACAAAAGATCACCCCAAGTACTGCAGCTGTTTTTTCAGGGGATCTGTTCTAATACTCTAATCATTCCAGCTGCTGTTTTCCCTTCCTGTTCTGTATTTTCTAGGCACAAATCAGACAGGAATATTTTCAGAGATAGTGTCTAATTTGAGAATTTACTCTAATTTGCAAGGACTATTCTATTTTAATATTTCATTAAGCATGTTTCCCATTGCTGAATTACAGCATGGAACTACTTTACTTTGCATATTTTTAATCTTTAATTTAAAACATATTATATATCATTAGCTGTTAGCTGAGTTTTTTTTTTAAAAAAAAAAAAAACCTTTAGATATTTAAAATAACTGTGTCAGCTTAGAAGCTATTTTTCTTTGAGGCTTCTGGGCTGCCACATTCAGTGCCTGGGAATTTGGGAGGGGGACTTCAAGGAGCGGTGGAAGATTAGCCACAACAATATTAATTTCTCAGAAAGTCAAGGACACATTGCCCTGCACCTGGAGGGGAGTGACTAGGGATAGTTTCCAGTTGGAACGAAGTAATGATTGGACCATGTGATGCAGGGATTGATTTTTGAGTTTTCTTTGGGCTAGGGAAAACCCAGAACTCTCAGATTCAGGTTTTTCCCAGATGTGCCAATATGACATATCTAATAAAATGGATCTTTGGGAAGATGATATTCTCAGAATCTTTTTCTCTGGAGGCTGTTACTTGGAATGCTGACAAACTGTCTCTGGAGATATTTCAGATGAAAAAGTGTTATTTGTGACAATTTCATAAAATGGATAGAATAAAATTATCATATGCACATATGAATATTCTGTTGAAATCGCCCTTGGGTAGCTTAATTAAAATGTTTAAACTGCTCAGTGCTCCTCCAGGAAAAACAACAGCATATTATCCAGATTAAAGTTTTAAAAGCTGGAAGACTTTATTCTACAAATTGATTAAAAATCTATCTAAAAGTCTATACATTGCACACAAAATTCCGCAAGATTATGCCCTCCAGCAAATGGCTAAGCTAAATTTCAGTTATGGGAGCTGTAGGCAATGCATCTGACCAGTAACAGACTGGGCAAAGTTGCCTTAACAAATGGCAATTAAACTTTATATAATGTAGCAGAATTTTGGAAAGTCACTGTCAAAAGACAGCTGAACCTGCGCTAAATCAGTTATGTGATTTAGCATGAAACAACCTTTCCAATTGGTTACTAATTAGCTATCACTC